TGTGCTGTTTATATACTGCCCCATAGTGCTTAAAGCACTCTGGGTGGTTTACAATCTATGTAGGCTACACATTACCCCCAGTCCCCAGGGAGTCAACCTTCAACTGGCTACCTGAGCTTGTTGGCATTCAACTCGTTATGAGCAGTCTTGGCTGGAATTCTGCAGTTTAACCACTGCACCACTTTAACTATCAGGTGGTACAGGCAAATGTTCAGGATATAATACATTCACTAGTCTTTGAGCATTTTAGTTCACTGATGCCCAGGATGTCGATGTTTATTCTTGCCATCTCCTGTTTGACCACCTCCAGCTTCCCAATGTTCATAGATCTTACATTCCAGGTTCCTATGCAGTATTTTTCTTTGCAGCATTGGATTTTCCTTTCACTTCCAGGCACGTCCACAGCTGAGCGTCCTTTCGGCTTTGGCCCAACCACTTCATTAGCTCTGGAGCTACTTGTACTTGTCCTCCACTCTTCCTCAGTAGCATGTTGGACGCCTTCCGACCTGAGGGGCCCATCTTCCAGCGTCATATCTTTTAGCCTTTTGTTTCTGATCATGGGGCGTTCTTGGCAAAGATACTGGAGTGGCATTGCCAGTTCCTACTCCAGGTGGATTGCGTTTAGTCGGAACTCTCCACTATGTCCTGTCCGTCTTGGGTATCCCTGCACGGCATAGCCCATAGCTTTTCTGAGTTACTCAAGCCCCTTCGCCACGACAAGGCAGCAATCCATACATTCACTAGTCTTTGAATAACACATGATTCCCTGCTGTTTCTGATATATCAGAGAACTGATGGATAGCTTGGTGGTTTTGGTATCTGGCTGTGGAGCCAGAGGTTGGGGGTTCAATTCCTGACTGTGCCTCCTTAATAGGGGCTGGACTTGATGATCCATAGGGTCCCTTCCAGCTCTGCAGTTCTAAGAACAATGTTTGGGGAAGAGAACTATGATAATTCCACAAACAAAGCCTCTGCTAAGATAATCTAATGTCAGAAATTGTATTAAGTGCTCTGTGCATGGGCCATAACTTAAGAGAACTACCACTAGATCTCCAGATGAAAACAAACCAAAACTTACACGAGCTCTTTAGATTGTGGCCATGAGACTCCAGATATGTAAGACCTATTCTGCTTTAGAACATTCTGCTGGATCGGACAATCTAGTGATACATAAGTAAATGGCAGAAATCTTCTTGCAGTTAAGAGTGGATTGTATTGCACAGAAAATGGGACTGAGAATAGATTAAATGTGAATTTTAATTAGTTCTCAGGCTCCTTTTATATGTTCACCAAATGAGTGGAGACAGAATCACAGAATTCTCATTCCAAGCTTCATTATCTTGAGATGATCCTCCTGGTGTGTGCAAAATTTCAGATTCTGATTGCCCAAATCCCCACCCAGCAGGGTCAGTGGTAGGAAATTATGGGAGTTACTTTGGCTCACAAGGCCACCTAACCCTCGTCAAGGGGTCCCATTTGAGAGACTCTCCCTTCTAAAGGAGAAGTATAGGCCAGGTCTGAGCAAAGTACAGACCTGCTAGCGTTGCTGGAATGCATCTTCCAACATTCTTCATCCTGACCATTGCTGTGCATGCGAGGGTGGATGGTGTTGTTGTTTAGTCGTTTAGTCGTGTCTAACTCTTCATGTCGGACAATCTAGTGATACATAAGTAAATGACAGAAATCTTCTTGCAGTCTTCCACTGCCTCCCGGAGTTGGGTTAAATAGGGTGGATGGTAGCTGCAGCCTAAGGACTAGCAGGTTGCACTTTGCTCGCTCCTCATTCAGGCTAAGCTAGATAAACCTGAACAGCTCTGGACTAGCAGGTTGCACTTTGCTCGCTCCTAGGCTAAGCTAGATAAACCCGAACAGCCCAGTTTCCCAGAAATACCCTCATCCAGCGCATTCCGTGTCCAAAGTCAGTGTCTTAGTAAGCTAAGTTACTAAGTCAGTCTTTGTGGGAGTCTACGGGGAGTGGTCTGTTTTCGAACCTGGGACTTGAAACTCACTTGAACGCTATCCTGGAGGAGACCTCCAACTCAGTGTTGTGTTCCAGTTGAGGTCCTTCTTTGTTTTTCCATTGCTTTTTCCATCATCTTAACACAGAAAATCCATGGAGAAGAGGAAAACAGAATAGCTGCACAGCGCCTTCCATTTTTTAGACCTCTATCAGGAAACGTGGGATGTGTCTAAAACCTGGCTTTTTCACAAGGGTTTTAACCACAGCCTGAAACCATTTGTGAATATCATTTTTCCTTCAAAAATCACAAGGCTTGACTACTTTGCTTCTGCTGTAATGTCACTTTTAAGAGTTTTCTTGTTGATATTTTTTGCAAGTCTGAACTGCTCTGATACCAGTTAAACATCTTTGTTAAATTTCTCTGAGTCTATAAAGAAAGGTGGGATGGACCAGGAGGTGAAATCTGGCAGCTGTTTAAATTATGTTGGTTCAGACTTGAGTCATTTCTCGTTTTGCAGAATTTATTCTTCTCCTTCTAGTCATGAAAAGGGACAAAAAGGTATGAGAAGGAGATCCCACTTTGCCTATAGGAAATACTACTTAGCCACCCCTTCTTGCTAAGATTTCATCAGGCTCGAGAGACATGTTCACGCCTCACTTCCGAACCACACAAGGCTATAAGTGGTTTCAAACACAGAGCGGAGATTTTCAGACAAGCAGAATTCTAGGCATAAGGCAACAGTTTTCTTCTATGCTGCTACGGAGGTGTCATTTTCACACATTTCTGTGTGGATGTATTAAGCCGTTTCATGTTGCCGTTTCTTGCAATTGCGGCTACACAAAAGCTAATGCTTCATTTCTGGCCCCCTAAAATGGATCCGTGACACTGAAAACAGTAAGGAACGAATCTGCCCCTCACTGAAACTCAGTAAAAGAATTTCAACAACTTTTCTCTTCTTGATGCTTGTGCAGATCTGGAGGAATCGGGACGACCCATTCAGCTTCCCCCTCTCCAAAAAGTGTCTGCAGGAGAGGTTGCTTCTCCACCCCCACCCATCTTTCGCTCACTGGCAATGGCATGTACAGCGAGACTGCTGCATAAGCCTTCTGATCTCATAATGAATACATTTAATAAAACATTGTATGCTTCTTCATATTTAGTTTATGTTAATTATACATCTACAGTATGATTCATATCCAAGCTATTCATTTACTAGCCCAAGGACTCGGGCGCTGACAGGCCCATGGCAAAAGGGGAGGAGGTGGGCACAAGTAGATTCAGCCCTTCGGGTGAGAAGGCTGCTGTTTTCCAGTGGTTGTTCAGACCACATAACCAGTGTAGTGTAAAAACTGTTTTAGGTTTTAAAAAAATATAAAGATTTTAGAATGGGGTTGGGTTTTTCAAAATGTTACTCTTCTATGAAAAATAAATTGCTGCCAATTCAGAAGTGAGATGCTATATCTGATGCTCAAGACTATGCAAAATAGCTTCAGTGGGATACTTTCAAGATGCTGCACTAAATAACCCTGTTTCCCTGAAAATAAGCCCTAGTACTGTATGATTTTTCGGGATGGTCATTGTATAAGCCCTGCCCCAAAAATAAGCCCCAGTTAAGTGAAACCCTGCCCTCCACCCTTGTGCAGCAACCAGAAGGTGTCATGACTGTATTGAATAAATGTAATAGTTGTACATGAAAATAAAATCCCCTGAAAATAAGCCCTAATGTGGTTTTAGAGCAAAAATTAATATAAGACCCTGTCTTATTTTTGTGGAAACATGGTATCTAAGGACTTGAAAAAGAAGTGCAATGGAGTACCCATGCATAGGGTCATATGAAGTAGATGTGCCATCTTTTATTTTATTTTGTTCAGGGGAAATCCAGCCCTGGCATGATATGGTTCAAGAACAAAGCTAAATATATATAAAAATATATGTGCGCCCTTTGGAGCTTTTTTGGACTTCAGCCCCAACAATTCTCCATTCTGGGAGTTCTAAGTGACAGACCCACACATACAGAAATCTGAATGTAGCTCCCCTGAAGGAAATGCCTACCTTGTTCCAGAAGGTGTTGTAAATCTTCATAGCTAGGTTTACAAGGTGTTGTAAATCTTCATAGCTATAATGCTTATTAAATCTGCTGCCACCAAGTGTGTTTCTTTAGCACTTCTGTTTCAGTACTTGTGTTTCTGGGAAGTGCAAAAGAAATACCAAAAGGAACAGCAGACGTTAGGATCCCTGCTGGATATGCGTTTTAAGAAGCAAAGCAGCCACAGTGTCTGCGGTTACTACAGCCACCCCTAACAGATCCTGATAGGTTCAGAACTCTCGCCCACGTGCTTTACCCTCCTGAGATATTTATGAACCAGTCACGGACCTCTCAAGTGTTGAGATATGGCTTTGTCCCATTTGGAAGCACGTACTTTTTGCATCCGGGCATTGGAATAAGGGAGCCCTTCCATAGGCAGCAGCCACATGGAAAGAAATTTAGGAAACTCATCTGGGATAACCCATGACTCTCATTGTACTACCTCCTGAAACTCAAGCCATTTGCTAAGATTCCAACATATTACAGAACAAGCAGCCCATTCTTTATACCAGGGATGTTTAATTGCTCCCCAAATTAAATATTGGCAGGCACAGAAAAAGCACTTATTTCCCAAAATTTACAAGAGGAAGTGGTGACAAGAGAAGCCCAACATTACTCTCAGTGTTTAAGCTCTTCTACCCCAAGAGGCGGTGTTTCTCAAGACACATGGGTGACTCCATTTTGCTCCCATGCACAGAAAGCCTGGCCGACTGCCTACGCACACACACCTCAGCTTGCAAAACGGGTGTTCTTTCTCCCAGAACCGTTGTGGTCATTGTCTAGAAGGAACACTGACAAGCCTTACACACAGACCACAACCGCTTCATCCCAAGCTGTTCCTCGCTGTGCTCTTTTGGTTCTCACCTGGAGGGTGATGGGCGCTGCAACCCAGGAAAGACGGCCGACTCACGACTTTGCTGAACAGGAGAATGGCGCAAGAAGAAACAGGATGGCACCGTGCTTTTTTTTTTTAATGCCAGCTGAGAACCACAGCCTTTTTAATGACCACTTTTGAGAGGAAAGAGAAGTACTTCTTAAATTATAACAAATATTGTCTTTAAAACCTCTAAAATTACAGGGATCTGGGATGGACGTTTTAGCTGGCATCTGCGTGGTGTCAGCCACCCAGGACCGAAGAGATCGGAAAAAGTTAAGACATGACATCTACAGATGTCAGCAGCTTCTGGACACATCACAAGAAGATGTGTTCCTCCTTACAAGACGTTGGAAGCAATGGACTCCTCCTTCAAAGTCCAAGAGGGGAAAACTGGTCAGTAAAGAGGACAGAGAAAGACAAAAAGCTCCCTCCATCGCGAGTGAAAGAACCACTATCATTACAGAATTTTCCATGTACGAACTGAGGTACCTTTGAGGTAGGTGAACTCTTTCCCCATTTTGTACAAACAGAAGTGAAACAGAAAAGGCTCCATGATTTTGGCAAAGGCTATAGTCGGGTCAAGTGGACATCCAAGCAGAAAGGAAAGTTAGTCTAACTACGTACACAGAAACCTCTCCTTCTGGAAAGGTGGGTGTCTTTTCCCTTGTGGCCGAATCGCTCCGCATCCATGGACAACCTCTACCCTTCAATAAGAGCACACCTTCTCCTATCAATCCAGAGCATGGGTTACAAGATCCCTGTGCCTGTTTCTTTTCTGTAATACCAGTGAGTCCTTAAAACAACGGGTGGGAGACCATCTACACACCTGGCACTCCAGGAAGGTCAAGGACGCCTGGGAAAGGTGGTCTTGCAGGACCTCTGCTGCACAACGCAGAAGTGGGGCAGACATGAACAACCACAGTTGAGACAGAACGTGCACAAGCTGCCCTCTCTTGCCATCCGTATCTGCACCAGTTCCCTCCCCCTCTCCCCAGGCCCTCCGATGGATAATCTCTTATTCACTGTCTTCACACCCACACAGAGCGCTTCAGATAGATCTTCAGCTTTGTGCACTTCTCTGGTTTATCCCCCCCACCCCCGGGGTGGGTCTCCCACCTGAGTGCCTTTCCAGGGGGGGTGTCAGTTAGGAGTATAAAACAACAATGGGATTGTCAGTCCACTTGGATTTTCAGGTCCCACACGGAACACGCCATGCATTGGGGGGGTGGTCTTGCTCTTGCGCTGCCACCTTGTCAGGCAAAGCCCGGGGCGGCCGTGGTCCTTCCTCCTCTTAGAAACTGGGAGCAGCGGCGTCTCTTTTCTGATGGAGGCGGCCCCTTTAGTTTTCGTCTCCCTCGGACGACTCCTCTTCAGCTTCCTCCAGCCACTGGATAAACTTTTGAAGCTGGAAGAAGAAGAGACAGTCGGAAGTCATAAAAATCAGGGTGTGACCTACCTAACAGAACCATCGGTCATCCTGGAACCTTCACAGTGGACAAGAACCGGGGGGGGGGGAGGAGCAGGAGGGGAGAATGTGCAGAAACAAACAAACACATTGACCACACCATTCAATGGCCCCTTAGGGACTGCCCACATGGAGTCTGAATGCATACACTGAGGTAGTACAATAGATTGTGTCATTTTGCACTACATGTGTGTGTGTGTGCGCGCGCGTTTGTGGACAGATTTCTGAATGCTCCTTGAGTGCTTTAAAAGGAAGGTCAGCGACCTGTGTCTTGTGAGATGCATGTGGCCGAGGGCGTTCTTGTGATTCCCCCTTAACAGTTCTAGGCCCTCCCTCACTCCTCCCCACGTACATTTTTCAATTTTTTTAAAAATACTCATTCTCTGGAGTTCACAGGAGTAGAGAAAACCCACAGTGTTTATGGGATGCCTGGACATTCGCTTGCTTCCTTTAGTACATTATTTCAGACCTCAAGTTTGAAACACGGGAAACTTGAGTATTATGTTTTATGCTTTTGTTATGTTACTGCTATTTGCGCTATATTTTAGTGTTTACTGTTTCTGGACTTTTGGTTTTAATCTTCTGTAATGGAGTGGTGGTGGATGGATAGATGGATGGATTCATTCATTCATTCATTCATTTTTAAAAAGTTTGGCTACTACACAATATTTTTCAGTTAAAAACCATTTAGTTAAACTCTATTTTTTTTTAGTCAACAAAAACCTTTTATGATCATGTGATTGGGACAGGACCCCAGATGGACCTGCAGGTGAGCAGTCACTCTCCAATCCAGGGCCTGAATTTCCTGCCCATCATGGGGTCTTTCGGAGGGCCCACTTGAGAAGGGAGAAAGCGGAACTGTGACTCAACACTCCCCCGAGAGCAGGGCTCAGACTGAGGTCCTTGTAGCAATATCAACTCTGGGGATCAGGGGACGACCTCTGGGGGAAAGGAGGGAACTGGTCTACTCCAGTGGATGATGCTTGGCTGTCAGTGGAGACAGAAGCCCCCCCACACACACACACATACACACAGGAGTTGACTGGGGAAGAAGCTGGCTGTCAAACAGAGGAACCAAAGGAGCAGCAAAGGAGAGGCCCCTGGGAAAGTAGTGAGGTTCCTCCACCTGTAGGGCTTGGGGAGGGGAAGGAACCTGGGGGAAAGGGACCCTGAGTCCGCTGGGGAAGGAGAGGAAGATTTCAACCAAGGAACCTGGGGAGAGGGCCAGGAGGAGCGTTCCAAGATGTTCCGGGCAGAGGACTCCCAAGAAGAGGAACCTGATACCACATGGGAGCAGGACGACATGTATAAGGAAGATCTCCGGGGAGGGTTGCTTGTTTGTGCCTCAGTTCCCCAAGGGAGAGGGGGGGAAGCCATGAGGACCCCAAACTCTCTCTCTGGCCACCCTATTGGAGAGAGAGAAAGGGAGAGACTGAAGTCAAGTCGGGAAAGTCCATGCCAACCCAGAGGTTGCGCTGAGGGCGTCAGCGCTGGGAAGAGCAGGGGGCGAGGAGACCAGGAAGCTGAGGGAGGCCATGGATCCCTGGTGGGAAGATCTCCACATACTGTCCCTCACTCTTGGGAGCAGTGGGGAGGGTGGAGGGAACACAACTCTCTCTCTCTCTCACACACACACACACGCACGCATGCATGCATACAGAGAGACACAGAGAGCATGCATGTCCTACAATGATTTATAGATCTCCTGGGGGGATCAAAAGTTTGTGTTCACCACAGTGACATTTATCCCAACAAAGGGTTAATTCCAGAATGAAACCAAAGATTCGCAGACAATCATATCAAGATTCATCTGAGTATCCAGGTATCAGCCTTTTTGAATATGGCAATGATGCCAAGCAACATCAGCCTGTCAATTTCTACAAGCTTTATTTATCCACCATACATTGCTTTTATGTTCTGTATGCACTTCAGAATTGTTGTAACATCCAAAAGACTTACAGCTGTTAGAAAAAGGAAGTCAAGGGACCCAAAGCGTCTCAATCTTACAGCTACCTAGGAGTGATTACTGCATGCTGCAGTCACTTACTGAAGAACAGAAATATATGAACTTGCAGACTCTTTTGAACAACAAAAAGGATTTCAACTCTCTCTCTCTCTCAAACACGGATGACAGAAGGTAACACGGATGATAAGATGTGAACAAGCTGGATCCAGAGAATATGATTCAGCAAGAGAGGACAAACCATATCTGAATACCAAGTATGCAAAAAAAATTTGTGTACACAAGTATGGTCAGAATATACTGATCACCATGCTTGTGGTTACTTATGGATCATAGCTGCTCTCAAGGTAAAATCAAGCTTCCCAGCCAGAGAACACAAAGTTCCAACTCCTGTCCTCTGAAGATGCCAGCCACAGAGACTGGCAAAATGTTAGGAAGAGAAATCTCTATAACATGGCCAAACCGTTTGAAAGTCTTACAACAACCATTATGTTATTATTTCCACATTCAACATGTTGTTGGCAAATAGAAATCTTTCTCTGTTATAACAAAAAAATGAGCATCAGAGCAATGAGTCTTAACGCAACTTTGGACAACACCTGGTAGCTCCTCCAACATCACCAACACAAGTCTTGGTTTCCAACAGTGCTTTCCAAGGACAAGTATTCAGTATGGTTCAAGTCCAGACCAGAGGTAGACAACATGGTGCCATTAGGATGCTTGAATCTGTATGACCCCTGTTTCCATTGGGGACTTATTCCAATCCCCTCCCCCAGCAGATGCAGGAAACTACAGATAATAGCAAACACTATATGTAGCACAGTATTTTAATTGTATTTTAATTGTTGTAAGCCACCCAGAGACCTTTGGGTAGTGTGGGCAGCACACAAGATAGGTAGGTAAATGAATGAATGAATGAATGAATGAATGGTAAAAGGGGAAAAAATCCTAATGTATGTATTTTCACTAGAGGCAGCCAGAGACCATGCTATGTATTCTTCAACAAGAATACCGTATTTCCCCATGTATACACCCCCCCAATGTATAGGACCACCCCATAATTTTTACCCTTTCCAGAGGTGGAAGAGCAGTCCATGGGCCGCCACAAGGGGCAGCCCAGAGCAGCTGCTTCTTTGCCTCCGCCTCCTCCTGCTGCTCCTGCCAAAATCACCTCCTGCAGCTCACGTCGCTGCTTTCTCCCCTGCCTGAAGGAGACGATCGCTGGAGGAAGTGATGTGATGGCGCCGGAAACAGTCAATGGGCAGCTGCGAGAGGCAGCCAAGCACAGCTGCTCCTTTGGCTCAGTCTCTGCCTCCTGCTGCTGCCTTCCGTGTGTAAAACCCTCAATTTTTGACTCTAAATATTTTAGGGAAAAGTGTCATTTTATACACGGAAAAATATGGTATGCAGCAGTGACGGCGAACCTTTTTGGGCCCAAGTGCCCAAATTTAGGGGGGGGGAGGGAAGAACCCAGCTGGCGTCGGCAGAAAAGAAGTGGCAGAATAGAAGTGGTGGAAGAAGGGGGAATCCCGGGCATGGAGATGCCTCAAGAATCCTGACCCGCTGCATGTTGGGGAGCCAGCACCGTGACTGCAGCCGCCTCCTCGTGGGGGGGGGGGGGGGGGGGGAGAGTAGCCATCTGGCAACTTATGGCTCTGCGTGCCAGCTGTGGCACACGTGCCATAGGTTCGCCATCGCTGATACAGTATATAGCATGGTCTACGTCTCCCTCTAGTGACCAGTTCTGGTAAACATATTGTAAAAGTTAAGTATTTCTCATTTTTAGAAAAATTCAGACCACGGACATAGGTGTGTGTGTCTTATTGTACTATTTCCACTGAGAAGACACCAGGTTGCCTTTCCTCTGACCAACAGAAATGGTTAACAGGACCAGCTGACAAACAGGACCCATCCCAGGGACTCACCCGCTGGTTTTTACGGAGCTGTCGGCCTTTATCTGAAGTGTCCCTTTGAGAAAACCAGGCAAGAATCATCTCTTCTGCTAAGATTTCCAGCTGGTAGAAAGTCATCAGCACCTGCAAGAACCGGGGGGGGGACACACACACACACACACTTAGACAGAGGGACCCTTAAGACTCTGGAGCAGGTGCTCTCTCAGGTGAGAAAGCGAAGGCGGTCCAAATTCAGACTGTTAACTGGTTTGCGGGACAAGGACTGGTGTCCAAATCAATGGAGCCAAGCCAAGAAAAGAAAGACAGGGAGCTGCATACAAAAGAAAAGATTTACATATACAGTACTGATTCTTTTGGCCAACATTGCATAGAACTTTGCTAGAATTCCTTTCCTTTCCTACCTTCATATTTTTCTTCTACCTTGCTTTGCAAAGGGACCTAAGGAGGCTTACAACAATTAAAAAACAATATTTAAAGCTAAATATATTAAATATACAAATACTAAAAAGGAATTAAACCAGTATTATATTACAAATGGTAAATAAAATCAGTATTAAAAACCTTTAAAAACAACAGAGTACAACAATCTATTGGGGGGGAACTCCTCTTAGGCTGCCAGTCAAGCTGTAATTTATTGTGGTGACAGCCGGTCACTCAGGATAAGCCTTGCCTGAAAAGAAAGGTCTTTGCCTGCTTGTGGAAGGAAAGGAGAGATGAGGCCAGACCAGCTGCCCGTGGGAGGGAGTTCCAGAGTCTGGGAGCAGCCACAGAGAAGGCCCTCTCCTGTGTCCCTGACCAAGCATCCCTGTAAGGGTGTTAAGGGTGGTGGGACCAAGAGAAAGCCCCCCCCCAATTGGGGAGGCTCATAGAGGGTCTTTTAGACAGCTAGGACCAAAACACACATAAAGATAAAGCAGGTGGCTACAGAGGCCTAAGGTTTTCTTATGTTAATGGAAGATCATGGCTTAATTATATCATTGGTGACTGAGGTAGAGCCCTCGGAGGGGGGGGGGAATAAGGGAGAACCGTCATCTCAAAAGGAGCTGTTCCATTCTCTGGAGAAGCTTTGAAGCACTTTTTGTGGAACCAGTCTCACCCAGCTGAACTTACTTTATTTGGATTCACTTTTATCCACAAGATCAGGCTCTCTAGCCAGACAGCAGCCAACATAAAGTCTCTTAAGTATAGTGGTGCCCCGCATAGCGACGTTAATCCATTCCGGATTAATCGTCGCTGTGAGGAAACATCGCTAAATGGAACGGAAAAAGCCATAGGAATGCATTAAACTTCATTTAATGCGTTCTATGGGGCCCAAACTCACTGTTCAACGAAGTTCCTCCATAGCGCCGCCATTTTCGCGCCCTCGGTAAGTGAGGGCAGTGCGCAAAAATGGTTGCGGCGCCCATTTTGGGCACTCGGCGGCCGTTTTGGAACTGCCCATCAGCTGTTCAAAAAATATCGCAATGCGAAGATCAGTAAGGGAAACGCTTACCGATCATTGCAATGTGATGTTTTACCCATTAAAACATCGCAATGTGATCGCATTAGCGATCTAAAAAATAGATTGCTATGCAGATTTGTTGTTAAACGGTGTGCTCGTTATGCGAGGCACCACTGTAGTAGATTTTCCCCAGATTGCTCTCTAGAATCTCCTAGGTCCATACAGCAAATGCTAATTTTTGTACATGGCAAAACTTATCTCCCATTAATGACCTCCAAACCCAACTCCACCTGGCTATCCATTTCTAACAAGAGCAAGGAGCTGGGAATCTAACCAAGCACGCAGAAGGAGACAAAGCATGGCGTCCAGTGAAATCCGGCCATAAGTGGAATCCTTGAGCTCTCAATGTTCATGTACTTCACATCCAAATGTAAGGTTTTAGTCATATAACTTTGGTGGGGGGAACTGAAAGAGATTTCTAAGAACTGTCTAAAGTTTTTTCTTAATACGGCAAACCAAAGATTTTTCTGTCCACTCCTCTGGCCTGAGTAGATCAAGTCTCTTCAAAAGGAAATGTTTGTGTGATCTGATTTTAGAGTTACAAAACAGGAATCTGAGTTTCTCTGTCTAGAGAATATTCATCTCCAGCGAGTAGCGCACAGCAGTTCTCGCTTGCCAAATGGGCTGGCTCTTGAGCCTTGGTTGCAAAAACAAGGACCTTTCAAGGACTGGCAAACAACTTCATAATCAACTCCTGCTGACAGCCACATGGGCACTTCCCTTCCTGATAAGAAACACAGTTATGTGCTGGCTCAGAAAACAAGCAATAATTCAACCAGACATGAGGTCCTGGTGGTGGAGAAACACACATACACACACATACACTTTACCAACTGCCATGGAAACATAGTAGGACGTGGTAGTGCTGCAGGTTAAACCGCAGAAGCCTCTGGGCTGCAAGGTCAGAAGACCCACGGTCGTAAGATCGAATCCATGCGACAAAGTGAGCTCCCATCGCTTGTCCCAGCTCCTGCCAACCTAGCCGTTTCAAAGCATGTAAAAATGCGAGCTGATAAAATAGGTACCACCTCGGCGTTCTGTGTCTAGTTGGACTGGCCATGTGACCATGGAAACAGGATCTACGGCTTGGAGACGGGGATTAGCACCGCACCCTAGAGTCAGACACAACTGGACTAAAGGTCAAGGGGAGCCTTTATGGAAACTTACTTTGGCCATGGACATGCACAGGGTCTCGTGGTCCAGGAAGAACTCTTCAATAGCGTGCAAGGCGTCCAAGTGATCCGACGCGCGTTTTATGTAGTTCTTGAAAACAGGAGCCCAATTCTTCAGTAACTGTGACAGTAGCAGCAGGGAGAAAAGAGAGACAAGAAAACAGCCATTTCAACATGTTTGTTTTACTACCAGAGAATTTGATCCCAAGCGGCTGGCAGTAGATTCTCCTCTGAACATTGCCAAAATTACCAGAAAAGGTTAAGGCCATCATGTTTTTTTACATACTGTACTGACAGTGCAAAATTCAGCTCTTCCTAGAAATAGAGAGAGGTTTGAGCCAAGAAAAATGAAATGTCCTTGGCAAAATCATAATAGAGCTCTAACTCCACATCTTTCACAAAATTTACATGTGGTAATTAAATTAGAACACATATATAATAGTCATGCGCTGTAATTTGTGCAGGATGAGGCTTTAACAGCCCAGACCTATCACACCGCCACAATGTAAAAGAAACAGGGGGACCTAAACTGTCATCGCTAAATGAGGCAAGGTCGCAAACATCGCTATGCAAAATTCCCCCATAGGGAACATCGCTAAACGGAGCGCAAGATTGCTCCAAAAACCTCATCGCTAAGCGAATACATCGTTAAACGAGGCACTCGTTAAGCGAGGCACCACTGTACGTTCATGATGTAGTTAACAGAACTGGCCACTAGCAGGAGCCGGAGTGAAACTATTTTTTTCCTGGATTTCTTTCTTTGACCATGCTATGAATTGCATTTGCTATTATCAGCAGTTTTCCGTATCCACGGGAGGCTTGGAAACGATCCCCTGCAGATAAAGGGGTCCAACTGTACTTCAAGACATTGTCCTCATTGAAATACAACCGGGTTGCTGTCTAAAGCAGAAGGGGCCCTCTAGTGTGTGTTGGGCTTTGACTCCTACCAGCTCTGTTTATTTATTTATTCCATTTATACCCCACCCATCTAGACTGAAGTGCTAGTCAACTTGGCCAGCGTC